CCCCACTGTGAGGGTGGGGAATAACCAAGATCGCCAAGATTGCCAAGATATGCCACTTCAACACAACAAAGAGTTTGCTTCAAACAAGGCACTGAAGCCCCAGGAAGTGGCACCCTGGACTGGATCCACGACCGTTGCCTCCAAATACTTGATGACTTCCGTTGTTGGTTCACTACGCTCTGGTGCGCCATGGAAGAAAGAAACGGGACGTCCTCCATCTTCCTGCAGCAACAACATTCGCACAATCGCAAGATGCCAAGCACCTGATTTCTATGCCGGCCAGCATCTTCAACAACAGCGGCAAACCACTCACCAGGGTCCCATCCTCTGCTAACGTGCAAGGCCAACATCATAGAAGCATGTAGAGACAGACAACCAAACTAGAACGCCATCAGCTGACGACAGTCGGGAATTGGTGGCTCTCCGATTCTCCCAGCAAATATCCGCGTCGTCAGAGCATACGCACGAAACCTGACAGGAGAGTGAATTTCACGATAGTGTCAGGCTTTGAGGTTCAAAGCCTTCCAGTCGACTTTGCAACCACATCTTCTGCGCGTCTTTGCAGCTCTTGGCAGCTCAAGTTCTGTTCAGTGAAGAACATGAACCGCAGTCCCTTCGATGACTCCTTAGCATTCAGACAAGGATTTGAAGGTCAGGACAGGTAAAAGCATGTCATGACAGGCACCTTGAAGTCGAGTTTCCGAGGACAATGACTCTTCACAGCTTAGCCTCTGCAATGATTCCTACAGCTTATGCTGGGCGACAAGGTAGTGATGCCTGCTCGTTCCGCAGTCCACGCAGGCACAACGACGCTGTCTGGCTTTGCAGCAGGATGGCCGCAAGACCTACACTCTCTGATAGATAGCTCATGGCCCACATTCTTTCATTCATTGAAACCAGCCTGCGCTGCCAGCAACAGCATGATTCTTCGGGTTGCGGAGCGCTTTTGTGGCACTGGCTGCTGGATGAGCTTGCTTCCAAAAAGATTGCTAGAGCTGCGCGATGAAGCCACCCCATCCAGATGATGCCCCATGGCTGCATCAAGCGCAGTGCCACGCCGCAACTCCATGCTATTTGGGCCACGCCTAGAGTCTACACCATACTACCTGGATGAAAACTGCCGCGTGCAGCAGGTCACAAGCTCGCAGCAGAGTTGCGAAAGATTGCAGCTGACTCAGGTCACGTATGGGCACACTGCACAGAGCCAGCAGGCAAAGCAGGCACCTCTTGACAGTGCCCTCGCATGTCATATCCTGCCTATGACAGAGCATGCAGAGATGTGCTCCACCATTCTGCTTGCGACTTCTCTCTGAGAGCCTCATCTTTGGCTGGAAGACCCTCGTACAGAACATCCAACCTGATACAACAGACTTGGAGGGGAAAAACACGTTTGGAAATGGCCATCCAAGACACTCTAAGACATCGGAGTACCAGTCTGCATCAAAGCTGGCCAGGCTCCAGATCTGCTCACGGAACGTGGAGGTAACAGGACGTGACCAGAAACGAACAGGAAGAGGCCTGGTCTCTTCTGAGACCGAGCCAGCTGGCTCCCAGCTTCGCCTCCTGAGTGGCTTCGAAAACCATGCTCGCAAATTCTTGCACAGGTCCAGGACCCCAGGCCATGCCCATGGATGCATTGCGCGTATGGGCTCTAGCTCGGCGTTGACACCTTGAGGCGCATCGACTCAACCTGTCCTCCTTTCTGCCTTTTGTGCCTGTGTGGCTTGAAGCAAGCAATCTCAGCCTCACCTTGGCTACAAGTGTTGCCACAGCTTGCCACAGCTTGTGTTGGCCACCAGGTCATCACAGCGCAACAAGCACAAAACCTAAGGAGGTGACAGTCGTGAATGGCGCAGTTCAAAACCGCATCTATACCACGATCACGCAAAGCTCGAAGATTCAATGCATCCTCGAATGCCATGGAAATTCATGGAACCTGGAGCTCTGCCAATATCTCTGCCAACACCATAGATGCCACTCCTCCAACGATCCAATCCACAGCTCGAAACCGGTAGCATCCTCTTTCAACACCTGGTCTGAACCCTCAGGAGTTCGCAAAAAATGTTGATGCAAGTCCCACACCAAATCGGCGGTGAAGGATGAGAAACCGGTCAGCCTCGCAGCTTCCACGGAGCTTCCACAGGACACCATGGGCCTTGCAAATCAGAGAAGGCCTGTCCGGCTGGTCTTCTGCGGACCGTCTACCAGCCTCGGTCTGACAAGGTCCCTTGGAAAATAACCCAATGTCCCCGCTACCTCTTCAGCTGCTTCCTGCGAAAAAACAAACTTCATGCAAATCACATGTGTCAACCCATGTGGCACGTTGCTTGACTGCTGCAACAAAGTGAACATGACTCCTCATTGTCCTTTGCACGGGCTTCCTCCCTCTTGGCGCCCAGTTCTTGAAGTAGAGCCTGAGAAGGGATGAGAACTCGTGGGAGATGGAGGATCATGCAGTTGCAAAGCCAGCCTTCAGTGAGGCACGAAGCCTTGCTGGGTTTACATCATCCAGATTTCAAGCCTAGCGATACGCTTGATGCACCTGCCATGGCCCTTCCTGAGAACACGGCTGCGTGGCGTCTCCCCCCAAGTCGCCAAGCAACGCCATATGAATTGAAAACTGACTATGTGCAACTGTAGGCTGATGCAAAGACAAGGACTCCACAGTCACTTATTTCATGCCCGCACAAGGCATAAACTTGCTTCTGTTGTTCGTTCTTGGAATTTGCGCATGCCATCACTACAAGGGTGGGTGTCGGACCGTCATAAACACACGCCTGGTCAAACGCTGAAACTTGAGCTTGCTTGACTGCTGCACACACACCATGGCAAAACCAGGCTGAACGGCAGCGGCTACACAACTTCCCCAGCCAAGAACGGATTAGAGGTCAAAGCTACGACCGAGGCTACTAAAGCACATCTAAGCACAGCATCTTCATGTGGTGTCCACGGTGCAATTGTTCCGCCTGATCCAGTTCGGGCGGCTGTAGACATCATCGAGCCTATCTGAACATGGGCCAATGGATGAGATGTCCTGCAGCAGGAGGGTTCAGTCCATTCCGATTGTTCGTGCAGATATTTCGTGGCAAAGTGCGTGCTAGAAATTGGAAGTCGAATCAGCTAAGGGTTGCAGAGCGATGAGATTACTCCATGAAGGGACTCCTCAGACTCGCCACATCCAGGAAGGGCAATGAAGTGCCTCGACGCAGTCAGGCTCAGCTTGGCCGGTGGCATGGTGCTGTACCCAGGGCATGCCAAGGCAGCAACCACATGCAGGCAAGCAAGTGTGCCAGGAACACGATGTTCAAAATGAGGCGTACCTGAGGACACAGGAGGTTATGCATGGCTTGCAGCAAAGCACAGCAGCAGGGCTTCAGAATGTTTCAGAGTGCTCCCAGCCCAGCTGCCATGCGAATCATGGCAGGTTTCAGGTGCAACTGCTCCTCGAGGATAGCCAGGAACCTTCAAGAAGGTTACTCCATACTCCCGGCCCAGGATTTCTTGCAAAACCGCCTGCCGAGCTTGAATAGTCTCATGAGCTTGGCGAGTCGAATCTCAGATTGGTGGCGCATCACATCGGCTGCAATGAACTCATGCGGCTTCTGGCATTTATGGCATTTCCGGTCCTTCAGCAAGGGCCTCCTTGCACGCTTTGTACGTGCGGGCGTCCTGTGATGCTCAGTACTGAAGCCCTGGCCAATCTGACGAACTTCATGAGCTTCACCGACCTGCTGCCGCAGGCACTAGAAGCTGATGATGGCTCCTTGCCTACGCAAGCGTTATGACGCGCTTGATCCAGGATGCGTGTGGACTTTCCTTATCCACTTAGCTCTGGCTTGAAGAAGTAAAACGTCAACATGATTCCAAAAGTTACCCTGAATATCATGGAATCTCAAAGCACTGCAACTCATCAAACTCCAACCTTACATTGGATAAAGGAAATCTTGCACCACACTCTATACCTTATGCCTTAAGACTCACCGTATATTGGGGATCCCAGGTGATGCAAGCTTTCTCGCATCCACCGTAGAAACGACATCAACACAACTGCTGCTGTGAGCTAACTCCAAGGACGATCAACAACACAACTTTGTACCAACCAATGTAGATTTGCGCCGGAAAGCACAAGTTACCCTCAAAAAAGATGCGCATGGCTCGCTCATCCATTGCAGACGCTTTGCAATCTAACTCCTGAGGCTGCAACTTCATTTCCGCACTGCTTTGCCCGGTGATTACCTGTCTCGACTGCTTCAACATGACTGCGAGCCAGAACTATGCTGCCACGTTCCTGGACCAACAAGTCCAACGGAAGCCAGGATAGAAGGTCGAAAAGGAAGTAAGACATGCAGTACCTGAGGTGGTGTCTCATCTTCTTTATGGTTCTGACAAATCTGTACGTGCGTCAACCTGCACCATGTTTCACCGGTCTTATTTACATGTGCTGATGCGTGATTGAGTTATGTTCGATTTCGTCAGGATTCTCTGGGGGGATGCAGAAGCGGCAAATGAGCTCTTCCCAACAAAATCCAACAAACAACTCCATCGTAACCGCAACTAGTTTGCAATCAAGACAGGCTGACCTGAAGATTTTTTGCCTTGTCTGCTATGCTCCACCATCATGTTCATCTCTAAGAAACACAGGGCATGATGAGGATGTGGACCAAAGTCCGGAAAGCTGTCACAACTCAAGAGGATTGATCTTTCGAGCACTCGGCCCGGCGTTTGCTTGCAAGATCGTGCTGCCGTATAGAAACTGTTCAACGTTTTTTCCAACAGACAATCCGTGTTGAAGCAAATATTAATACTTACATGCATTTCCGACGCATCGTTATTTCACACAACATCCACGCACACATGTGCATCCAATTTGAACGGCATCTGCGGTGGACCAGATAGCTACCACCAGATCAAGCGCATCCAATTCTCAATGTATCCATGCTGACCGGTTTCAATGCATCCGAACTTCACAAATTCAAGCTCGCCCAAGGAATTGCATCTGCTTGAAATGCATCCGATGTTACAAGTACTAATGTAAACCTGTCATTAGTCAACGGGATGACAATGATATGATGTTGCCGAGCCAGACAAATTCGGGAAGACGAAACGTGCTTTCTGCCAGCTTCAGAGCCTAAAAAGGTGTTAACAAGGTCCATGGGAAATACTACGGGGGCGACAATATTCGTACTGTCCGCCCATTTCAGGCTCATAGAGGTGAAATGGTAATTCGGATTTATTCGGATTTGGATGCTTGCACAACAGACCCAGCACAGCACGGCAGCTTTGGAGCTTGCCTTGCTGCTACCAGCCTCAGCCTGTACTATCTGCAAATTTTCGGAATCCCCAAACATCAGGAATTATGGACGTCTCATTACTTCGCTTCTTCGAAAACTAATTCCAAGAAGCTTCAACGGTTACCCTGTACCAGGGCCTTCCCATGACAATTATAAAAGGGGTGGCAATGACACACTTCCCTGTAGCACGAAAAAGTTCCATATAATAAACCCCTTCTGTTATCAAAGGCAAGCTTATGCAAGCTCGGACTCTCATTTGAAGCCCCGAGGCCTTGAAGCTATGAGTCTCAGCCTTTACCGTCTGGTGATCCGTGGAGGAATTCGCGGGCATCACTCGTTCATTATTGGGATGCCCCCCTCCCGAAGACCAAGAACGCAAAACAAGATCTCGGAGGAGATTCTGTATTGTCAGATTCACATAACGTGGCGCTAAGAATTCGTCACAAGCATCTGCTTCCTCAAGTCCTAAAGTGCTGTACGGATGGCACAATCGCGACCCATACTTATCATTTGGCTCCACGGCCACTCACCGAGCCAAGGACATATCAAAATGCTTTGCATACTGTCCCGTTTCATTTCTTTTTTGGCTTGTTATCATTGCAAGATTAGCTTTCGGCGGCGCCAGAGAGTGGATGCACCAGACTAGCGCGAGCTGGTTCAGCAACTCCCAGCAGGCTACGAAGCTTGGGGGCGTTGCAGTGGCAGGCGACGAGTCCACCAAGGAGGAAAACCCGGAGGCAGTAAAAACTTGCTGGAAGTAGCATGTTTGGCCGACACGGAGCCTTACAAAGCTACCTAGTCCAGCGAAGGCAAAGTCGGCATAGGCGTCAGCGCAGGCCTGACACTGCAGAAAAGGGCCGGCCAGAATGCACCGTGCGACGTCCAGCTAGAGGCGCGGGACTTTCTGAAAAGCAGGGAAATGGGCCTGTCATGACTACAAGGCAGGCCAGCCTTAGTCCAGAAGCAGCAGGACGCAACAGCGTGCGTCGGCAGGTCAGACTTGGCATGCGCCGCAGCTTTGGAACAGCCAGAAATTAAGAGCACACCGGCAAAGACACGGGACGACCAGGTGAGAAGTGATGATGAAGTCGTCATCCAGAGATGCCAGGCATGGGTCAGGAGTCAGCGCGGCGTGCGCTGGGACTCTAGACAGTTCACACACACACTGGAGCGTAAAAGAAGGCCGAAATGGACGCTGACAGCCAATTAAGCTTGCAACTGATCTTTTCCAACGTGACCAGGGGGCAGGTCTTCAGAACGAAGGAAGGAACTAAGGCGAGTCGTTTGTCAGCAGTGAACCAGTCCAGGCAGATTACCCAGCGGTGGCTGACAGAGAGGCTTGTGCCAGCTCGTGGGAAAATTGAAGATGCAGACCAGGACCACAAGGAGCGTGGCTAGCACTGGGCTGGTATCTGCGGACAATACAGGCGCATGAGGTCATCCACATACATCAACAATAAAGACCCGAATAGATGACATGGTGGCCTAGGCGGGTGAGAAGCCCAGATTCACGTATGCTGTTCTAAGGAACACGGACCGTGACAGTCACATAAAAGTATGGCTAGAAGTCCATCAGGTAGGTCATAAACTTTGTTAAACTAATTTGGGTGTATATATATATATACAGATGTATATATATATATACATATACAGCTCTGGGTTAGGGTTTAGGGGGTACAACTGCTCGCCACTCCGTGGGTCTCCCCATGCAATCCTATGGAATTTCCATATGTCACACGTAACCACCCAAAGCCTGAACCTTGAATCCTGCACTGAAAGCTGTAAACCCATACAACCCCGCATTGTAGATTGCAACCCCAAACCCTACGCCTGAAGCTTTTGGACCCCTTCTAACACCCTACGGGTGTTCAAAGCAAGGAATGGCGATGAGCAGTTCAAAAATCGACTTCGCGAGCTTGGTAAACTGCCCCCCCCCAAGAGGTCGCCAGGCTTGTTACTTAACTTTGGTTAGTTGGGAACGAAGGAATGGAAAGGTAAATGGAGACTATTATGATGGGTTATACAAAGACTACTATAAGGATCCATTCCTTCATTCCTAGCTAACCAAAGGCCAAGTTACGGCTTTACAGGGGTTTCGGGTAGTTGGGTTCTGGTTGATCGGCTTCAGGATTTTGGGTTTCAGGGTTTTGGTGGAGAGTTTGCGCGACTTCGGGTTCTGGGCGTATAGGGGCTTTAGGATGCTCGGTTCAGGTTTTAAGGTTTGCAGGGTTTTGGGGTTTATCGGGTTCAGGGGTGGCTGAGTGGTAGGGACGCTGACTGTGGGCGGTGACACCAGGAACACAGTTGCTTTGGCCAGATTTGCACTGGTAGCGGGAGGTGGGATGCCCATGCAGACCGATGCAACTGAGAGGGCAGGAGAAACAGCGGTTGGAAGCGCATGGATAAGAAAGGGTGCATGAGCATGCGACTGGCTTCAACGGCATGAAGCTCGGTCCTAAGTTCCCCTAAGCATTGCATAACATCAGCGCCATTGAGGCTGGGGCGCTAGCTTCGGACAGCCTACTTTGATGCTGCAACACTGTAAGCTGCGATTGCAATGTTCGAAGCTGCAACACTAACCCCCGCTCTTTTTCATTCGCCTGTAGGCTAACTTCTGCAACTAGCCAGACCTCACGGGCCTGGGTTTCCCGTTAAAACTCCTCACATGTTCTCATCTCTTTTGCATTGATTGACTCAACCCTAACATGATCGTACAACTTAATCAAATGTGCACGCGCTGATTGAACCTGCTGAGCAGCCTGATACTGAGCTTTTTGCACGTGATGAGCAGCCTCTTGCGTCCCGGACTGTTGAAACCCTTGGGCTTCTTGGGCAACCTGAACTGCGCCCAAACCGATTTGCATGTTCTGGAGATCCTTGTGCTAACGAAGATGGACCTCAGGAAGTGCAAGAGTTTGTGGCGTTCGGAAGTGTCCTGGCGCTCTGTTTGGCCACTTGTTTGGACAATAGTCATGGGCACATCGGCCACGGAACACCGTCGGCTGAAGGACCGCTCTGATGGGTGGAGGCACCTGCTCGTGTACCCCAATGCGGAACTACGATATCTGAGCTTAGAAACGAAAATTGATGCCGAATGGACCTTGGCTGCGAACCCTTCACATGACCCTGGCGAACACTGGATGAGTCGCAGGGAGTAGTATGATTAGAAGGAGTGAAACACAGCGAGCTCTGTGGCGTGGACATGTTGTCAAAACACACGCTTGCCTAGCAAGGGCAGTCAAGCGAGTAGCGGTCGGACGCTGTCCACTCCGGTCATTGTAGCGGTCGGACCTTGTCCACTCCGCTTTACTTACGGTCATTAAAATCAAAGGGGCAGAAACGGGCTCAACCAAGGCAGTATAGGTGGAAGGTATCCCAGGCACTTTACTGCCACTTGCGTACGCGATTGAGCCAAACAAGGTTCAAGGTAGGTAGGAATATTGATGCGATTGCAATGCTATCCAGACTGTACATGAGGGAGCAGGTACATAAGTGGGCCCTGGCCCCTCTTCACTGTCACTGTAGAAATTGGCGATATCAGCTCATGGGATTCTGATAGCAACTTTGCAGAATCAGTCATTGGTGGTTGAGGCTGAATTTCGGCAATGTTGGGACTCAACGGACCATTTCTTAAATGCATGATTTCCCAAAAACTCAATGGAGCCGTGGCGACCACAGCACTTCGTCACTTCATTCAACAGAAAGCGACACAGACAGCTTTGGGTCAGTCCACTTTCTCGTTTAACAAAAGACGTATCGTTTAACAGCATGTTTCATGTCACTGCCAAGCAGGTGCCAAGGTATGGTCTAGCAAAAGCAGAGGGATGCAGAGGGATGCAGGTCAAATCAAAGCAGTGTCACATTCTCAGCCAAGTATATGTGCGCTTTAAACAACAGAATGGCTTCTGAACGAGGGGAGCCAAAATGAGGGCAGCTGCTTTGAGGCATTCCAGATCTGCGATTCGAAGCTTATGGCTTTCAGTCAGGAATCTGCATGATCATTCTAGCATTCTGTTTGAAAATGTTAGCAACTGCACGATTTCTGAAAGCAGCGGACATGGCTGCAGCTTTTCCCGCCTGCCGCTCCATCACCGAGTGAAGACCACACATAGCAGCAACCATAGTGGTTAGAAGCTGTTCAGCTGGGATTCAGCGTTGGGTGGTACGGGCACACACCGGATTCCCTCTTGCCCACATACTTGGACCGGTCTTGAAGAGAAGCTGAGTTCAGCATGGAAGGAAAAGTATACCACAAAAAGCTTGCTTAGTCCGGGGTGGGCACCGCTTCGCAATTTCCCACGGGTCGGTAATCAGAGTCTCCTGCTCAAGTTTATGTCTGCTGCTGATGAGCGCAACATGGTGCAGGCCTCAGCAGACTCTGCATAGAATCCGGTGCGGAAGCACAGGATGGTATCCACCTAACACAACAGCGCGACATCTGACACGTAAAGGCTGGGACGGGCAAACCGTGAACTTCGGGAAGTGTGTAGTTCGGCAACGCCAAGCTAAACGCAACCATACCAGCGAAAATCTTTTCAACTGAGACCTCCTTTGATGATACTGGCAGGAGTCAACAACCACGCAATTGGAAAACACCAAGAACGATATGACCCTCCTGCCGGTTGAGATTGAGGATCCGTACCCTGGACCTGGCTAAGAAAAGCCTGCGTCGTGTCATGCCAGTTTTGTTGCGAATGCATGTTGCTGCAGCATTGCACCCCGTCTTCGTGCATCATGCCATCGATCCCTGTCATATCAAACGGCATGTGCAGGTGATGCAGGGACATGAATGGAATATGGGAGATCTGTGGTGACGATGATTCAGCAAATCTGCTTGGGCCTTAAGCCCAGGGGAAGTTGCCTACATTTTCTAATCGAAAGTGAGCAAAGCTGCAAATTGAACTAGCAGCACGCGCCTAGGAATGTGCTAAGACCTGGGCAGCAAAAACCACATCAACGGCGTAGTCGAAAACCAAAGCTCCTCCTTGCGCCGCCTCCACCATTGCAATTTTTTGGCTTTCGAACAAGTGTTCTACAAACATGTACTCATATCGTGTACTGTTGCATGGATCTTTTTGACAAACATCGCTGACTGCTTACACGTACTCATTAGAATGAGCTAAATCACCACAAGTGGTTTTCATGTAAGGCAACTTTCCAATCTTATGCATACTGCATGCATCCGACAACTTCCGAAAGCTGCTCCCAAACTAGATCTCCTCAAAAATTGTGAAATGCCCTGTCGCTGTAGCAGCTCACTGGGGAAAGACGAGAATTTTCTCAAGTGCGTCATGCAAACTTTCAGAGTCACCTTCTAAATGGATCTAAATGGTAGCAGCCTCAGTCCTGCCATGCAGCCTACACTCTAAACTCCACATGGTCGAAAGTCAGGAACTGTTTGCTGAGACCTTGACTGGCCTGGTCGAAGCCAATTCGCCACGTCATGGCAATGATTGTGTAGATAATCAGGACACCCACGAAGAGATCCCAGCAAACCTGAGTTTGGTGGCTATTCAATATATGCATGCACTCAATCCAGGGAAACGCGAAACAGGCCACCGCTTCCAAGGCTTCAACTTTCCAAGGGCTTCTTGGCGAGATTATGCGACACTGCCTCATGTGCAAGTCTGCAACCTTTGGCGTTCGAAAACAGAACAGGCAACAAACAAAGCAAAGCAAAAACACTAAGGCGCAAACCGCCTTGGTGATTCGTAAATTCTCTCCTGTCAAGGGAATGTCAACAGCCTGCCCAACTACAGGTACCTCTTTTTCGGCGCGGCATTTCAGATGTCAGATGGACCAAAAGGCAAAGTGAAGAAAGTGGCATTGCTCTGCAGCAAGAGCCAATGACCAAGAATACCGTGATATGCGTTCTTTTTGTTCATGATGTTAACAACGCGAGACGCAGCAGGCCTGCCTGGTCAGAGAGCCCTGTCTCAAAAGATCGCATACTGGCAGTCTCTGTTGCCCCAGAAGCATACAAGCCTTGGACATGGAAGCATAAAAGCCTTGGACATGGGTGCTTTTCAAAAAACCACACACATGTGCCTAGGTCGAAAACCTTCTTTACCATTCGCGTTGCCATCCTGACTGTCAGAATCCTCCTGTGCATGTCTCAATGTCAATAACATAGCATGGCTTGCAATGTTGCAAACAATATTGTCCTCCCCTGCATTCCCTGTGCCACCAGTGCCTGCAAACATTGCAGCGGAATGCTTGGTTGTCTGCCTATACATAGCCTGTCCTGCCGGTGGACCGTGCACACCAGGCACTCGTGCCTGACCAGCCCGTGACAACTTTCAAACCACCAACTCAACCGGGTCTGAATGATCTGGCCCCTGCGTACTAACATGGGCAACACAGGCTTGAACGCATGGAAAACAAGCTCGAGGCGACACCAACCAGCCTCGATGGACCACTTCAACGTCTGCAAGAAGCCCTCCTCCTCTTGACCTTCCCAAGGGCGAATTGGTGAAATAGACGATGATTAGCTTTCAATGCGGCACAGTCGAATGCTATGCGACTTTAAGCGACACACCCACTTCCAGTGAAAGTGCAAGACCACTGGCAGAGATCCTCCAAAAACAGATATATGGCGGAGTAGCACCATGCATCATGCCAGTTGATGGTTGATCGTGGCACAACCCACACAATCAATTGCCCGTTGTCCTTCTATGACTTTGGACGCTGCTTCTGGCAGCTTTCCTTCCAAGTACAATTTTTTTTGAACTAAGAACGAATGCAGCAACTTGAACGCCGAAAAAGAAATTCCATACGCTAAGTGTGTCGAAAGGACCTCTCACCATGGAGCACTTGGTGCAGAACCTCAGGGCGGTTCAGGCACAACACGAAACAGCTTTTGCCAATTTGCCCAACGGTTGATATCCGAGACCCAAAGAAATATAAATCTGAAGGGGAAGAAGTGCCTTGGCAAGCTGTCTACATCATAACAACAAGCTGATGCAATCCGGGATTGATACAACACGCGCTGCCATACAAGACCGGCCCGACCTTGGCTAGCTGAAACGCAACAAAGATGTTTTTGAAAAATGCGCGGGTGGATATTGACACACTAGTAACTTCCAATGCAAAACAAACATGGGCACAACTTGGATGCCGGACTCCCCGACCACGGTGCGGCCATTCTAACTCATGATATGTCAATGAAAACGTCTGACTTTGCAAAACTGAGCACTTGTTCCGCGTGCCATCAAATGCCAACCAACCAATAATACCCCCTTAGCGCCATTAAACCAAAAAACCGCCTTTGAAAATAATCCGGCTAGATTGAGCCACGACAACGTCTGCGAGGACGAACCATCATTTGCTGCCCACATGCTGCAATACATACGACAACTCATGCAAGAGTTTTACAGCAGAACAGTGAAAGCATGCAGTGGACGCCTTCCACTTTACAGCAAGGCAAATGGCCAAGTTTAGGGCACTTCTTTAAGACTGTGCGTTTAAGCACGCAATAAATGCGACCATGAAAGGTTCGAACGCACGAAGCTGGGGAAATGCGCGCGTCTTGGAAAAAAACATGTAAGCATTGTTTCATTGCTGAATCCACGTGCAAATTTCGTGTTTCACAACGCATTAATTGCATTTTTTTTGAAAAGGAGCCGAGTTGCCAAAGAATTCTGAAAAGACTGATTCAGACAATGCGCGCGCTACTATGACAAAACATGCATTTCGGGCGGTTTCAAGGCTATCGAGTGCACATTATTCTCAGGTTTGCGAAGACCCCCGTATGCGGCAAGCAAGCGCCACACTCCAAGGCTCTTACACCACATTGTCTGGTGCACACACTTTGTTGCACTGGGCCGCGCTTCCTACTTGGCATGGCATTGGGGATGGACTATTTGAAGTGTTTCCACAAGAATGGTCCAACACGAACATTCTCATGGTTTGGGCATGGACGCGCAGGTCACCATATGCACTTGGAAAACAAACTTTCCCATGGTTTGGGCAGGGATGCTGTGGTCACTGTATGAACCTGGAAAGTGGGCATAATTATGGTGTGTGCGCACTCGAACACGAACGTCATTACATGGTTTGGGCAGAGATAGCATGGTTTGGGCTTGGATGCTTTGCTCACCTTGTGCACTTGCAGCATGAACACGGCTACGACTGGAATGGATTCATCTGGCTATCCACTAGGAGCGAATGCCATATTACACGGGCTTTGATCATGGCCATCCACTGAAAGTGAACGCCACTACTTTGAGCGACAAGTGCGCTGAGCACTGGCCCCGCTTTCCCCTCCGCCTGGTTTTCGGGGCGCGGGTGGGTTTCAGAATTTGCTGCGTACCTCAAAGGTACTCCAATAGGTTGAAGTTATATCAGCATGGACGAAATCTAAAAATTGAAAACCTTGACCTCAACAGACTCAACACGGAAGCATCACGGAGTTTCGTGGGAAAACAAATTTGAAAATATGTTTGAATTGACGACAGGCTTGATATGGACATCCAATGACTCTCATTTTTCTTGCATGGTTGGATGCAGTGTGGCAGGATGGAACTATAAAGCTACATCGCGCGCGAGGTAGCCACAGCGCAGTCAGACCTACAGCGCAGAAACAAAAAGTTCCTTTTTCCTTCCGAATCAAAATCCTAGTGGGTGGCAAAATTCTCCTTGAGAAGCTGAAAGGCAAGCACAGCGGACGGACCAAGCCCAAAATAGCGCAAAAAACAGCCGACCCATGGTATCGGGGAGAAAAGAACCTTTTGAATTATATGCTCTGTACCTCCAATTCAGCCAAACGACGTGAGCCAAGTGGTGTTAATAGTAATTTTAAGGGACTCAAGCAGAACTGAATGACAGACAGCTTGCACTCAACTCAATAACCAGCAGCGGCTCGCTTTTTGTCTGGTGACACAGGGCAAAGTCTTCTGTCTTCGTGTTTTTGTCCTAAACTTGTTGGCTGCAAGGGCAGGAAAGAAAAGCCTGGTAGGCAAAACACGGGGTGCACGGGGGCACAAAGGACTTAACCTTACCTCAACCTAGGGCTAGGGATATTGTAGTTTTACGTCAATCCCCCAAGGAGCTTTCGCGATTTGCAAGTGATGCGCTTTCACACGGGTTTGTGTCATGGGTTCCTTTCGTTTCCTTTTCGAGCTCCACGAAGTCAGGTATCGTGAGACAGGACTACATTCGTCACATTTAATGACGAACGGCCAATCCTTGTTGGCAATCCAGGTTGATATGAAGCTTTCATATCAAGAGTGGTAACAAGCAAAAATCTCAAGGTTGTCAGTTGCAATCCTGATCCGAACATACATGAAAGATTTCCCAGGCTAATGCGATGAAGGAATGTCACGAACAAAGAACAACAAGAAACATCTCTCGACACCTCATCAAAACTCCTGATAGCCCTAGACTTACATCCATCATCACAGTAGCGGCGGCCTACCTCATCCCCGTTTTGGATGAGCAATGCCCGGTAATGCCCGCTGGTGGCACGTTCCCCTAAGTGCACTATACAAGCTCTCAGTTGGAAACCGACCTCAGAAAAGGACAAAGTGGCCTCATTGAAAATCGGCATTTGAATCCCAACTGCCCACTGCATCGGCGATCGTATTTTGGACGTCCCATCACTGGCATCCTGGAAACGATTGATGCGTAGGATCAGCCAGTTCGGATTTTCAGTGATTGCATGGATGTATGCCTGCTGGTGCCATCGATTGATTGCATCTTGCAGAATCCAATGTCCTTGGGGTGGGGGGTCAACGTTGATAGCTCTCTCACACGTTCCAGTATCCATGACATGAATGCCTTGGGTCGCATCACTCTGGCCTCCACTTGCCATGAAAAGGCGTTGCCTGGCATCTATTCAGCACTAACATGATACACTCACACACGTCATGCTGCCGGCCTCCATGTCTCCACCCCTGCTGCAGAGCACTCCAAGGAAAGAGCTGAGTAACTGCAAAAGCCTTGGCCTGCGACATGATTGCTCGCCACGCATTGGCACCTCGCCCCAAGTCTGAAACCTGACCACCAGTTGTTTCCAGCATCCACGTCACTACATGTATAAAGGAATTGATGTAGCAGCGCATGTACTCCCAGAATTGAGCAACTTCAGATTAGTAGCTACCCACACAGCATCTCTTCCACCAACTTTGCCATGCCGCCGCGTTGATTGCGCTCCGGTCTGAGTCGACTCTTTAGGGGCTTCAGCGCCACACAGTCGCATAGCTGGTTGAGGTTTTGATGCATTCTCTGGCCCACTTCTACTCGCAGTGCTACCTGGGTGCTGAAACAGACTTCGTGGTCCATAACCTGGCTGGCCACTTCCTGCATCAAGGGTCGCGACGCCTGGAACTTTCGAAGGCCCTCTGGCACCCTGACATCCTGAAGTTGTTCCTCGAGGATTTGAAGCAGCATCGTTTTCAACAGGCGGACCAGGACGAGAATCTTCAGAAGGCTGGCAAGGCTGCGCAATGGACAAATGCTGAGAAGGCTTGGCTTCACAAGACGTTCACCTGTTCCGGCGTTGTCTCCTTAATGCGCTTCCACTCTGCACTGACTCCGAACATGACCGGCAGAACGCCGCCCTCTTCCCTGCTGACGAACCATCTGAACCTGCAGTCCTGCAGAATCATCTGATGTGTGTCTGACAGCCGAAGTGCCAGCTTGGCTGTGGCTTCCACCGTCCGGAGCGTCCTGCCGCAAATGCTGCCCTGAGCGCCCCTGCCCCTTGCCTGGCTTTGTCCTGCGCTTGCCTTTGCCTTTGGTGTCGCCCTCTGTCCTGGGCCTTTTGTTGGTCGCCTCCGAGCCCATCACTCCTTGCATTGGACCGCTCTGTGGGGTCTGGCTGCCCACTGGTAGTAGATGCATGAAGAAGATCGCCTCCGCCGCTGCCGCCATCCTGCAGTAAGGCAAAGAGGATCGACTGGAAGATGACCGGGCAAGCGACCACGTGACTTTTAGGACACAGAGTGAACAAGGAATGATGTCTGCCTCTTGCGTCTTGCAGATCAACTCAATCCTGCTTTTGCGCGGGTTCCAAACTTCCCTATGTGACTTAGCAAGGTGCATCTTAACAGCTCTGTTTGAAGCGCACCATGCACCACACAGACAGCACCACTGAGCCAGTCGCTTCCTCCACTGCACATCTTGGACAAGAGCTCTCCAACCGTTCTGCCGAACAATGTTGAGCACTTCCGGACACAAGGAATGGCAAGGAGGTGTCTTCTGCTTTTTAAACACCCTCTGTCTCCGCGTTAGCTTTTTCGGCAGTCTGCTGGACCGCGCTGTTCGGGATTGGGAATTGGCATGCCCCATGCTCAATGTGTTTCCTTAACCTGTCCCACGAGCTGAAAAGTTCTTTACAGCCCAGGCCTACCACCCACAGAGTGAAAAAGCCTATTGAAGGTAGGACGCTCGGCCAGGGCGTGAGCTTTTTTAGCCATGTGAGATCCGAGGACAGTTTTGTTTGCACACTCCTGACCGCAGCGCGGACATCGAAGGAAAAGTCTGCCCTCCGTGCCTTCCCTCTGCAAAATTTGTTCCAGGCTGCTCAGATTACGCTGACGCCAATCCATAATCGTCTGACTGGCCTTGATGGGAACGCACGTCTCGCTGTCAAAGTTTCCCCTCCATCTAACAACCAATTTGGCCACGCGGTCTCTGATGTAGGATCCAGGCTCGGCCACACCAAGTTTATCCAACAACTCCTGATTACTAACATGTGTGAGATGCGCTGGTTGTCTTGAAATAGCCCTAATGTGCTTCTGCACAAGAACACGGATTTTGTGCAACCCGCTCAGCGTCACACCTCAAGAATCGAGCGCATAAAATAGAGCTGCACCAACACACGC